GTGGCACTGCCTCTCTCTCTGCTGCTAAAGCTACGGATAGCAAATGCTACGGGCGATGCCTGAGCGTGAACGCGCATGAAGCAGCCTGCTCGACCCGAGCATCTCTCTTTTTCTGTGATTTTACAGAAAAACAGGCAATCACAGTAAAAATGCCAGGGCTCATTCTACAGGACCAGGGCATTGCAGGAGAATGTATGAAGAAGACATTTATTATTTCTATACATGTTTTGACTGTCACACTTCCATAATGCCCCTTTAAAATATAAAAATAATTTAAAATGGCTGAACAGATAAACATTTTAAGGAATAGAAAGAATAAATTGAGACATAATATTATTATCATTATTAGTATTATTAATAGTAACGAATACCACTGACGTGTGTTTAATTTTAAATCGACTTGCTTGTGTAATTACGTTGTTCCACATTCGGTGTTACTGCAAAAATAAGTTAGTTTCCAAATGAAAAGCTTCAACAGTACTGTGGATAAAGGAACACGTATACATTTGAGAAAGGGTCATTTTAGCACAAACTGGCTCAAGAAATTTTAAGAAGATGAGAAAGCTCCACAGTAAACAGCTAAAGTCTAGTTGCCTTTAGAAGCTATACTGGGAACACTGGTCACATCAATAATTTGGTACATTCTCAAAGACGAAAAAAAGGCGTCAAAGAATAATTAATTCACAGCATGCAGCCAACAGAAACAGGGCCCATAAAAGTCGGCATACGGTGCAAACCATCCACATACAGAATAATGGCTGAATTGGACTTTACGAGAGTGAAAAGCCGAATAAAAGCCAGACAGGCTCTGGTGAATCATTTTGGGACAGCATAAACAAGGTCCAATTTGTACCAGAAGAAAAAACATGTTGAAGGTTTGGAAAAGATCATGATTCCAGGCATCCAACGGCATCAATCCCACAACATATTGAGTGTAAAGCACGAGCATGCACAGAGTGTGAATTCAAGATCTGGGGATGAACTGGCCTGAGTTGTACGACAGCAACAAACTGAAGGAAAATGTCTCGCAGCAAAAAAAGGACAATGAGCCAAAGCTATAAGTGTTTCTGGTTCTGGGAGTAAGGAAGTGAAATATCCTAAAATAAACCAGGAAAGCTCCTGAAATCAGAGGAAATCTCATCGAAAATTAGGGTACATTTTCAATTAGTTCCTAAAGAACGTTTTAAATCACTCCAAAAAAGTAGTTCTAGGAGGGCAAAGTTTACAATAAACAAGTTTGGGAAACGGTGTGTTTGCAAGAACAGGTTCAGCGTCGCGTAGCTGCAGAGGCCGTTAGAGGATTTCATGAAAGAACAGAAAACCCATCTTTACTGGTTAGCCTTCTTTTACTGGGGTTTAGTCGTTTTAGAGATATTTAACGTTGTGGGTTTTTGCCTCTATTAAACGTGGTATGCATGTTGCTGTTATATCGTATATTTTTCCCATTTACTCCGAGGCTCGGAGTTCATTTGTGTGATAGCTATACAAGGCATGGGTTGAGTTGAGTCTGCATCATTTATCTGGGAACGATGATTTGCATTGAAGCACTTGCATGAAGAAATCAGAAGGTATGCTTTGGATAAACGTTGGTTCCTCCCATTGCTGTTTTTCTACTTTCACTTAACGCTGTTGACTCGTTCATGGAAATATTACCCCTGATTGTTTTCAGCAGGTGGAACGACTCCAGCAAGGCGTTCAAGGACAAGCTGGCCAACTCTTCAGGCCTTGATCCACTCAACAATGTAGATCCGGTTCACACAGCCAGATAATCACGCCAGTTTTCCACTTCAACAAACTTAATGATGCACCTGATTGCCGTATGGCTCCAACAATGATCTCAGATAATCCCGCCGTGTGTGGTACTTTAAGATCGGTCTGTTCTGTTCAGAGAAGAACTTTGGGACCCCCCCAATGACAATTTGGGATATTCAACATGTTGGATAGTCTTGGTCCAAACTGGAGGACAAACACGTGTTGTGTGTTGAATCTGATTTAGCCGTCATCATCGTCTTCCTCTGCTTATCCGGGTCTGGGTCGCGGGGGCAGCATCCCAACTAGAGAGCTCCAGACCGTCCTCTCCCCGGCCACCTCCACCAGCTCCTCCGGCAGGACCCCAAGGCGTTCCCGGACCAGATTGGAGATGTAACCTCTCCAACGTGTCCTGGGTCGACCCGGGGGCCTCCTGCCGGCAGGACATGCCCGAAACACCTCCCCAGGGAGGCGTCCAGGAGGCATCCTGACCAGATGCCCAAACCACCTCAACTGACTCCTTTCGATCCGGAGGAGCAGCGGTTCTACTCCGAGTCCCTCCCGAATGTCCGAGCTCCTCACCCTATCTCTAAGACTGAGCCCGGCCACCCTACGGAGGAAACTCATTTTGGCCGCTTGTATCCGCGATCTCGTTCTTTCGGTCATTACCCAAAGCTCATGACCATAGGTGAGGAATGGGACGTAGATCGACCGGTAAATTGAGAGCCTGGCTTTCTGGCTCAGCTCCCTCTTCCCCACGACAGATCGGCTCAGCGTCCGCATCACTGCAGACGCCGAACCCATCTGCCTGTCGATCTCCCGATCCCTCCTACCCTCACTCGTGAACAAGACCCCGAGATACTTAAACTCCTCCACTTGAGGTAGGACCTCTCCCCCGACCCGGAGTTGGCAAGCCACCCTTTTCCGGTCGAGAACCACGGTCTCAGATTTGGAGGTGCTGATATAGCCAAGAAAGCAAAGTGTGAAATTGGTTCATTTCTCCCGTGTTACCCAGATAAATCCCATGGAGATCTGGACCTTTTACTAGGATCACCTGGCATCCACATGTCATGCACCAGTCACAGCAGCAAAACTCACGGACAAAGACATCCAGGACAGTCCCACATCTAAATGAACTGGTTTCCATGTGGGATACTTTTCAGGAAGTATTGCCATGAGCGACAAGAGTATCCGCCATCTTGGATTGTATGATGCAGGATCTTCCATTTCCTGTGGTCATGTTTTGGAAATCAACCATTTAAAATTTTTAAGTGAACCTGGCCCAAGAGACGTGGAGGCGAAGCAGACGTCAGAATCCATGTCTCATTGGGTCATGGACGTTCGCCATCCTCAGATTCAAGCAGATGATCAGATCGGGAATGCTGGACGTGCATCTTCAGGTTTGGTCTCATCAGGGTTTTGATGCAATCTCGTGTTATTCGGCATCTGTTGAGGTCATTCCTAAATCTCTCATTCAGGTTAGGATGGTGAAGTCTGCAAAAAGTAACAATAAACCTGCAGTGAGAAGAAGAAAGCTTGGGTTTTACCTACACTGGGATTAGCTTTCTTTGTTCACATCTTCTCCCCAGTATTAAGTGTTACATTGACAATGATAGAACTTTTGTTTCTGCAAACATCCTAATCCCAAAGCCAGTCTATTCCAACCTACGCCTTAAAATTAGGAGCGAACATCAGAAGAAGCTGCTTAAGCTGGAGGTATCAGGAGGTAAGGGACAAAGCACACCTGTAAAGCTGGAGTTGACACGAAACATGAAAGCACAACCAAAACAAAAGCCTCAGCCAAAAGCGACTTTAGAAGTCTTTCTTCACAATCCAGGGATGGAAATCAGACCTGAGATATGGGAAAAGTCCCACGGAAAGCACATTAGCACTTACTCATGTTTGGATATGATTGAACTAATTACGCCGGGTTGTTGAGATGTTAAGAGACCGTAAACACGCTGGGTTTGAGCGAACCCCCGAAGAGATGAAAAAAAAGACCCTCTACTTTCATCTAAACGCAATTAATCAGAAACCGACTCCGCAAACAGACAGAGGCTTGCTCCATAGCCTCTCTTGTAAGCGTTGGACTAACTGATGAAAGCAGCAAAATTTACACCCAGTTTGGAGATTAGACGGCGAACGAGTCAGATCTGGTCCGACGCAGACCTCAGACATCATCCTTGGTAGGGGCATCAGGGTCGGGTTCACTACCTCGGACTGTTTGTAATTTTCCTGCTTGGAAGAATGCTTAATGAGTTTTTATGCTTTCAAGCAAAAAATAAATAAATAAATAAAAGAGAGAGAGAACTGTGGTGTTTGATTTATGACACCGCTGCAACAGTCGGTGCATGTAGGGGTTGGTAATGAGTAGAGCGTTGCACAACAGCAGGTTGGGAACCCGTTCACACAGCTCTCCATGTGCAGCAGGCCAGGTTATTTCAATTAGTTCTCCTCTAGGACCTCTGGACCCCCACCTATCACTCCCAGAGATCTGCCACAAGAGAACCTGTTGCCCTGCTTCCATTTACCCCCCCCCCCCCCCCCCCCCCCCCCCCCCCAGGGCTTTTATTTTGGAGAGGGAGAGGTGCATCAGGTTCAAAGCATGGGACAGGACTGCAGGGTAACGTGAGATGATGGTCAGTCCAACGGTGCATGCAGCTGGACCAAACCATCTGTGGGGTTGAGAGGATGAGTCCTTGACTCCTCAGCTCTAAACAGTGTGTTCGTACCACAGTTTGGCCTTTACGTAACACCGGAGGACTCTTTTGCCTCAGCACAACCCCGGGTTTGACTGAAGGACGTGAGCCCACACAAACGCCACTGAAGGAGTTCAAAGTTTCTCGACCCAGAAACGATCAGGTTCACCTCCCGTTCGACCCGACTGCGAACACATCTGGTCCTACTTTAGGCTGACTGTAACGATGATATCTCCGTTTAGCATTTATTCACTTTACTTTCCTGTCGAGACTGGACGCTTGCTCTTGCAAATCTGTGATATGAAAACATTCTTTCTTCCTCGTTTTTCCTCCACTTCAGTTGCTTCAGTCGTCACCTCGCGCACCACTGGCCACAACCTGGAGCTTCTCCAGACAAGGCAAGAGGAAGAACAAGCAGCCGAACAGCACACTGAAAACATAACGCCTGAGGTTCGTCTGATAACATCAGTGGGTCAGAAGGTGAAAAACCGTCCAAATGGACAAATGTGTGATTTCCAAGAGCTCAAACGTGTTTGTTGGTGGAGGTCATACCGATGCTTCATAATCCAGGGTTTAGCAAGTCTGTGCTTGGGTCACCGTCTCATGTGGTTCCTCCTTACTCACTCTGAAAATAAGAATTAAAGAAAAAAAAAAGCTCATTTAAAAGAGAAAACACCCTGAAACCAACACCTGAGAACCAGTTATCTAGAGGCTGCCCAGCCATAAGACTGCATCCTGCTGCTTAGTGGAAAGTAAAATGAGAACATTTAAAAAGTCTTGTTTCAACAAAACAAAATGGAGGAAACTATAAAGATATCTAGACATTGAAGGACTTTGATAAAAGAAAACATTCTTGGATCGGAAAACGAGTTCTTTTTAACTCTGTGACCTTTAAAGGGACTTTACGCAGTTTTGAATTTTTATGCTCGTGATTGCCCCCTCAGGCCAAAAGCGTAACAGCAGCTTCAATAGTAGGCTCGTGCACGAGGCGCGCATGCTTACGTGCACACTCCTTAACGAAAATAACAGCTGAGACAGTCGTGTGTGTGTGTGTGTGTGTGTGTGTGTGTGTGTGTGTGTGTGTGTGTGTGTGTGTGTGTGTGTGTGTGCGTGGCCCGGAGGACAGAGGACAGGAGAACATGCAGCTAATTAATTAAATAATGTGGTTCTGTACCTTTCTCTTCAGCACAGCCGACAAAGGTTTATGATGGGTCAGTCCTCCTGCATGCTCAGATCATTCCCTTCCCTTGCTTGAAAAATTGTTCCAAAATGAAAGTTGAACCCACATCTTTTTTATCTGTGAATTCAATGCCGTTCGGCGAGTCTCAAATAAAAATTTGGGCATCTTACTGTAAAAAAATATGTTAATGTAAAAAATAAACTGTAAATAAACTATGTTCACATCCAGAATCAAACCCGGGTCTTCTGCACGAGAGTCCGACGTCTTACTAGGTGAGCTAAAGCGCCAACAACATCTTTTGTATCTGTAACATTTATATCCTTGATGACAGCTGAAACAACGTTCAAAGAACGGTTCGGAGTGAAAATGGCTATTTTGTTGCTAATTAGCAGGAAATATCTAGAAGAAAGTTCTACAGAAAGTAGCTAAGGGTCCTCAGAAATGTAGCTAGCTTTGTCACTAGGCGTTAGGAACAGCGACAAAGTGGCACTGCCTCTCTCTCTGCTGCTAAAGCTACGGATAGCAAATGCTACGGGCTATGCCTGAGCGTGAACGCGCATGAAGCAGCCTGCTCGACCCGAGCATCTCTCTTTTTCTGTGATTTTACAGAAAAACAGGCAATCACAGTAAAAATGCCAGGGCTCATTCTACAGGACCAGGGCATTGCAGGAGAATGTATGAAGAAGACATTTATTATTTCTATACATGTTTTGGCTGTCACACTTCCATAATGCCCCTTTAAACTTCTATTATTATGAGCAGCTAATGCAGGAAGTCAAGTGTTGAATTATCCTATATTAATCCCTTACATGTGTCAGACACAAGGCCCGCGGAGCATTTTTATGTGGCCCGCGAGATAAACATAAAAAATATATTAAAACTGACCCACTGGCCGATTTTAACACAAAGACTACAACTCCCATGATTCTTTGCAGCGTTAGCGCGGAGCCAAAGCGCCCCCTCCTTTGAGTTTTTTTCAGCGTCTGCTGCCGGTGTTACACCAAATTATGCGGCCCATCACAATTAGTGACCCCAGGGGGCAGTGTTGCGTTTTGTTGTGTCTGTACATCCTGAATTGGCATAAAAAAAGAAGATGCTACGTTAAAACCGTAAACTACGTAAGCTTTGAGGAAGTTGTGCGGCGCGGACCGTGGTCACACAATATGATAGTGGCTATCACAGAATGTGACCACCTGCATCTCAGTAATAATGCAGACGTCTTTAATTTTCACTAAAGATAATAACAATAAAAGGCGTTTCGTGATGTTTGTGTCATTTCCCTTTTATCTCCACCAGTACATATGAGCGGCATTGGAGTGACAGAAAAAAAACGTAGCAACCAGATAGTCTGCAGTGGTTTCTAATAAACTAAGGATGTGGATCACAACAATTTCTTTCAATAAATGGAACATTTTACCTGCGGACCTCGCATGTTGTAAAATCAGTGTTTAATGTTAGCAAACATTTCTTGTCAAAGCCCTGCTTATCGGTGCATTTATTGTCCCGTTTGTTTGCAATAAATATTAACAAACGCTCTTTCTAATATCCACGGTCCGCGCCCCACAACTTCCTCAAAGCTTACGTAGTTTACGGTTTTAACGTAACATCTTCTTCTTTCATGCCAAATCAGGATGTATAGACGCAACAAAATGCAACACTGCCCCCTGGGGTAACAAATTGTGATGGGTCGCAGAATTTGGTTTAACACCGGTGTCTGCAGCTCCGCTGCCTCGGACAAACTACACTCCTCTCACTCAGCGCCGAGTTCACTCAGCTATTTGTCGACGTTGAAGCCCAGAAACTGAGATTTTATCCGCTCAGTAATGTGTTCACGACTGAAAGAGAAAGTTTTCCAACTAATGTCCAGACAGAGCTGATATAACTCCAGCGAGCAGCGACACGCTCAAACCAGCACGACTCTGTGGCTGCTGTAGTTTTTATTTTTCCTTCCCGACACACAACAACGTGGTCAAGCTGCTCAGACATGTTCAGCAGCACAAACCTATGTGAGCACCTGTTGTCATCTAATGTTGTCATTATTATGATGAAGATGAACAAAACAACAGGAGTCTCCTCCTCAGCTCAGATCAACCCCATGATGCAGGTATCTGGCTGGAACAGGTGAGCATCACAGTAAACCAGTGGAGCAAACTGAGCTTTAAATATGTTGGTTTTATGCTCTTTTTCTGCTCCAAAACATGAAAGTTAACAGGTGAGATGTTGCATTTTCATTTAAGATAAAATTATATTTTATTTTGTTGTTGGCGCGTGAGAAAAGATTTAACCTACAGTAAACAGGAAGTGGAAAGGCTGCAGATAGATGAATAGAATAGAAAATCCCTTTATTGTTCCTCAGTGGGGAAAGCTAGACGTCACAGCAGCGATGACACTTATTACAATAAAACATAAGAAAAATAAACAAACAACAAGAAAACATAAATCCTGAATAGATGTAAAAATGCTGATTATACCAAAAGTAATGAATACCACTGATGCGTTTTATTTAAATCTGACTTGCTCGTGTGTAATTTAGTTATTCCACATTCAGTGTTAATGCAGAAATAAGTTTGTTTCCAAATTAAAAGGATCAAAATTGCATTTATGTTGAGAAAATGTGCAAATTTGCCGTCGCTTTTTCAAAAAATATAAAGTTCGGCCCGCGACTCCGTCCCAGATTTTCATTTCGGCCCAGTGTGAATTATAATTTGACTCCCCTGCCTTACATGGTAACTAACCTGGTTACATTATTAAGTCCTTACAGCAGAAGCGTTTTGGTAAAAAGTGAAGGGGTTTCACACATCAGGACTTAGACGCTGTTTTTGGTTCCTCGGCCAGTAAAACTTGTTTTTATAAAACCTCAGGTGAGCACCAAGGCAGCTAAACACACATCTCATACATCACCACTTCAATGAAAGCTGATATTTCATCAGATTGCTGCTCTGGAGCATACAGGCGTGTGTTAAGGTTGGTTTATGCTTGACGCGTCCGCGAGGTCCGCACGGCTCCGCGCGGTAAAATTGCATCATTTTAACAACCACGCCCCTCCACCGCGCCTCCGCACGGCCCAAAATTTCCGCACCGCACACCTAGGAATTTTTCTAACCACGCGGACGGTCGGATGCGGAAAAACATGGCGGACTGGCAAGAACTAGTATGACAGAGGTTGGTAAATACAGACATTTGTATGATTCAGCTCTCAGAGATCACCGTGATCAACATGTAGTTAATAATTCTTGGAGAGAAATAGCTCGCACTGTCGGAAAAGACGAGGACGCTGTTAAAAAAGCTGGAATGCCGTGTTGTAAACAACAGTAGTTTCTACTTCTACTATGGTGTAGTGTTGGATGCATGCCGTAGAGCTCCATGCTGCCCCCTACAGTTTGGGAGAATATCGGCTCACCGCAGAGACGAGCCGCATGAACCATAAACGCCGCGAGTTGTGAAGCGCGTTCCAGCCGCGAGCCGCATCACCGCGCGGAAAGTGAATGCGTCAAGCATAAACCAAGCTTTAATGCAATGCCAAAGATTAAGGACGTCATTTTCTCCCTGTAGCTCCGTTCCTTGGGTCTGAATCAGTTGGTAAGTTGCTGTGTTTTAGTGACTTCACACACAGCTACTTTACTGTAAAATCAATGATTTCTTAAATTCTGATCTCTAGATTTAAGAACACAAACAATAATGAGTAAAAATGCTTTGGATGTACATAATAAAGTTCATGTTAGGCTGAAAGTTTTATTTTATAAAGTCAGACTGGGAATCGTGAAAAAACAAACTGTTAAACGTCTCATAAAAGGGCAGCTGGAGAAATGTGCAGTGATAAGAGTTTCACATTTCCTCCCCGGAACAAAGTACGATCCAGCGCCTCTGCTGGCCCGATCAGACTCGTGGACGTCCAGTCTTCAGAAAACATTTAGTTACTCGCAGATCAAACAATTAACCGCAAGCTGAAAGGTGGCAAGTGGCTCCCCAGAGACGGTGCAAACGCTTGAACTTTCCTAAGCCCCGTCTCCCCGTTTCGATCCATTTAACCCCCCCCCCCAGTCGAAGCCCCCTCATCCACCTTGTAATGTGTCATAAAGCAGAGGAGGAGATGTGATGGTACACACACACACACACACACACACACACACACACACACACACACACACACACACACACACACACACACACACACACACACACACAACTGTCTTACTCCTGCCAGTCAACCTGTTAAAACCTGCTAAGTAACCCTAGATGTGGAAAGTACCCCTGCAAGCCTGAGAGGTGAGGAGTGCATGCACACCTTCTACCTGCCCCCCCCCTCAACACACACACACACACACACACACACACACACACACACACACACACACACACGCACACACACACACACACACGCACACACACACACACGCACACACACGCACACACACACACACACACACACACACACACACACACACACACACACCTCAGCTTTTCTCCAGACACGCAACCCAGACAAGACCTGAAACACAGTAAGACCCCTGCTACTTACATCCTTCTGATGTTGCAGAGGAATCAGTCTGTCTGCACTTGTTAGGACGTGTGTGTGTGTGTGTGTGTGTGTGTGTGTGTGTGTTGCTCTCACTCAGGGGCCAGATCAGGTGTCCTTAAGCACATTTGGACTACTGTAGGTGTAACTGTCAGAGCCGTGACTCCGGTACGAACATGTGCACCAGCACGTTGCACGTTTCCCGCCCCCTCATCTCCAGACGCTGTGACACTTCTCCCTTTACACCTGGCCTCCTACGATCAAAGCCTCTCTGTGCCCCCATGACCTCAAAACAGCAGTTTCAATCACACACCTGATCTAGGAACTGCTGGCAGTGAGGAGGCTCTGAAGATCTAGGACTCATCTTGTTTCGTTCTCCTGCCAGAGTTATGGAGGGGGAAAGCCCAAATGAAGTCTGTGGGCCCATAAAACAGGCCTTTAATTTGTTTGTGTTTGCCCTGGAGCTAGCGCTACCATTAGCCTCCAGTTCCCACAGGGGTTCTGGTTTGATCAGATCAGAAAGCAAATTTACGAGCAACGTTTAGGAGGCCGGGGCACATTGGACATCAAATGAGCAGGTGGGATTCATTGTCTATGAGCCTCTCTGCTTGCACAGCAAAGACAGAAGTGATCTGGAAGGAAATGGGAGGAGAGGAAGACATCTAGCCATGTACCAGTTGTTATGAGTTAACAAGGAGCTGAGACTTTGAACATATAAGACAGAATTGAAAGATATACGGCTGCTTTTGGCTGAAGGCCCAACATATGAAAACACGCCATCATTTGTGACTCGTATGATCTGTAGATACCTATACATAAGTCAGTCGTGCTAAGAGGGGAACGGAGTGTCACGTTGTGGGTTGGAGGAGTTGGACCCAATGTGCAGATACCCAGAACAACACGAGGCAGGAGAGGATGTAGAGGCAAACATTCCTTATTAAGAATGACGAAGTGGGGGCAAAGCAACGTTGACAAGGACAACGGACCAACAACACACTGTGACGCAGACAGGGTTATATACACAAGGGCTGGGTGATTAGGGAATTGTGCACAGGTGAGACTAATAAAGAGAGGAGGAGCACAACGGAGCAGGGGAGGAAACCAGACCTAAAAATGGGGAAGGGAGCAAAATGAACTAAAGGGAGAATACTGACTAACACTAACAGAAGACTAATGATAAGTGAGGTGACTAAGGGAAATAGTGAGGGAAACCTAGAGAGAGCCTGGAGGGGGCTGGGGAACCACAGGGACACTGAAACCCAGGGGGAACACCTAAAGCCGGGCGTACACTGTGTGACTTTTACACTGTTTTGAGCCGATTTTCCACTCGTGTGAGAATCCACGAGATCGGGGCGAGTTTTGCGCCGAGCGGCGTGTAGTGTACCGGGGGTTACGAGAGGCGATTAACACCACGTGACCAGCTACCGATCAGCAATCGTGAGCTCGCACGGACTTCTGGTGTGTTTGATATTTTGCTCGTCCCTCGTGAGAGTATCGCACTGTTGAAGCGGCTCTGCGAGCAGCTGCGACCCAAAAAGTACCAGAACCGCTCACGGCGCATGCGCAATCCTGCATCAACGCCGCTCGCCCGCTTTTTCCCTAATAACACACGTTGTTCATTTTAATTCCTACACGTTTTTTTACTCACAAAGATTGTCAAGAAAGCGTGTTTGTCGTGTTCATGTCAAATTAAACTGGTCACAAAACACAGATTTACTTTCTTTATTTCGTTTTCCTCATCCAACCCCCATAAATCCCCGTGTGTCCTCCTGCAGCACTCCCGAAGGACAACAGGCAAGACAAGAAAGTCTGACGTGTTGTGTAAAAACTGCTATTTTTAAGCATAATTTTAGGGCCGACGTGTTGCTGCCAGACGTACAGTGTGAGCAGTCAGGTCGCATCCGAGAACTGGGTCGTACAGTGTGAGCGCATGACTCGTGAGATCTGCCCTGCGAGGAAGTCGTACAGTTTGAGCTGAAGCCGAGTGCTACGAGTGAAAAAGTGGCACAGTGTACGCCCGGCTTAAGGGAAAAAGCCTGGAGTGGCCTGGGGAACACAAGGAGGCACATGAGGGAGACGCAGAACGCAGACCATGACATGGAGTAACCAAAGGTATTTCACTTTATCCTATGGGTGCTTTCCGATCTCATCTTCCATAAGCAAACAGGTGTTTGTCTACGTTCAAGAAACCACAGGAGAGTTACAATAATGACAAACATCGATAGCACAGTTTGTTGCCTCCATTTTTGGTAAATGGTAAATGTCCTGTATTTGATACAGCGCCTTCTAGAGTCTTAGAACCCCCCAAGGTGCTTTACAACACAATCAGTCATTCACCCATTCACACACTGGTGGGGATGAGCTACAATGTAGCCACAGCTGCCCTGGGGCGCACTGACAGAGGCGAGGCTGCCGAGCACTGGCGCCACCAGTCCCTCCGACTAGGGTTGTCACGGTATGAAAATGTAACCTCACGGTTATTGTGACCAAAATTATCACGGTTTTCGGTATTATCGCGGTATTTTTTAAACTGTGTTGCATATGTTCAGAAAGCATTGATAGTCCTGTTCTACACAAACTGAAATAGTTCTGAAAATGTTTAACAGTGTTTATTAAACCTAAAATAACACAAAGCCTTAGCAAAAGTGCAACTTTTCACAAGTGAAGGAACAAATAGCTTATTTTTCTGGAACATGTTACAGTAGTCAGTGCAGGTTTAAATTATACAAGTCCAAACATTCAAAACATAAACAATATGTAAACAAATCAAAGAAACACCACTTGTTTTCTCATATACTTGTTTTCTTCATTATCAAAATGAAAATCTAAAACTCCAGTTCACACTTGACTTGAGCACTGTACAAGTCAACCTTAAAAAATATGTATTTAAAATAAATATCCACTTTAAACAAATTACTAAAATAACTACTACACTATGTAATCAAATCCAAATGTTCAAGTATAAATGGCATTGAATAAGTAAACAAATCCATGACAAGGAACTAATTGTATATTTCTCTTCATCATCAACAAATAAGATGCTTCATCCAGCAACAGGGTGTCCGTGACACGGTTTAAATGCTGGCAGAGGACGCTGCGGCTGCAGTATATAGTGACTCGTTGCATTCTCCCTCAACCAAAAGTCCTCACGTCATGCATTTCAGCTAAAATGCTAATGTTATCTTACCTTGCACTGGCTGTGGAGACGTGGGTGATCGTCACGCAGATGTGCCATGAGATTTGAAGTGTTGCTGCCTTTTGCAGACACTTGTTTCCTGCACGTTCTGCAAACGGGATAGCCGTCTTCTATTAACTGTCCCTCAGCATTTTTCAGAAATCCCAAATATGCCCATACTTCCGATTTAGTCTTCTTTGAGGGCTGATGGATGTCCTGGGCGCTGCCGTCTCCTCCTTCGGCCGTTATTTCAGCTTCAAAGTTTTGGTGCAGTTGCAAACTAAAAAGTGCGTGTGCGCGCCGCGGGAACTTCAGCTGAAGCGACGGTGGCTGGTAAGGGTCATCGCGCCGAAACCGCGGCCACGGTAAACCCACCGAGATAATTTAGTTTTTTAAAAACTGGACGGTTATTTTTATTGTCAACTTTTTTACCGGGGTTTACCGCTATACCGGTTACCGTGACAACCCTACCTCCGACCACCACCAGCAGGCAACGTGGGTTAAGTGTTTTGCCCAAGGACACAACGACAGCGACAGACTGAGCGGGACTCGAACCAGCAACCTTCCGATTACGGGGCGAGCACTTAACTCCTGTGCCACCATGTATAATGAAATGGTCTGAAGAATAATTACAGTTGGCTCCAAAATTCCTAAAGAAACCATTTCCACTTGTGATGAAGGTTTTAGCTCCCCAGAAATCCAGAAAAGGTTGATGCAGCAGTGGGATCAAGGCACCAGTGCTTGCTCGGGAGTAGCAGCAGGCAGTGAGGAGATGGCCTGGTGTCAAGGACAGCAAAGCACCCCCCGCCATGGAAAACATCAACAAGGTCCAAGCATCACTCTGCTGACTGATGGACCTAGTCACAGTTTAGCCTGAGAACAAAGCCGTGAACAAAGAATGGCACCTAAACATCCTCCCAGAGGAACTCCTCCAACCAGACGTTTAGCAAAAACAACATTTTAAACGTAAAAAGCAAACAAAAGACGGAAGAAACACTGAAGAAACAAACCAAGAAAACACACGTGGGACTTCCCAGTAAAACGACTTAGTGCTGAAATCAACAGAAAAGCCGGAACACATCAAGCCTAGGGTTGGGCTTCGAGCATCGATTGGAACCGGTTCCAGTTGTTAAGTTTTTCCCGGAATCGTTCAAAGTTTATTTCGATTCCTAGAATGCAGACGGAAGAGGAATCCGCGGCCGATCTCCATGAAAAATAAGCTGTGGAATGAGCTTCCACCCGCGGTCAGACAAGAACCCTCGCTGCTGGTTTTTACGAGTCAGATGAAGACCCGCTTTTATACAGCGGCGTTCCCTCAGCACATGGGTTAGCTATACGTTTAGACAACTTAGCTGATTTGATCCAGCTGTATTTACTTATTTTATCTTGTTTTTTACTGACATTCTTTGCTTTTCTTTCCCGTTTTGTTTGTTTTCATGTATATCTTATAGTTGGCCAGGTAGTGTTTGAAATTTTTTATACGAGTGCAGCACTTTGGTTCGCCTGTTGGACGACGGAAAGTGCTCTAGAAATAAAGATGACGATAAATGAAAAGTCGAGTGTAACTTGTTTTAAACGTCATTTCTAATAAACATTTTAGAGCAAGAAGAAGCATTGAGGTAAAAACTTCATAACTCACCTGTTCTGTTTCTTCATTTGCAGCTTAATCATTATTCCCATGGCCACTAACGTGGAGAGGGAAGCAACAGCGCCAAGAATGAAACCAGTATCATCATCTGCAGAAACCAGGAAAAAACATTATTAGTTTAAGACACTAAATACTCAGAGATCCACCCTAGCAACTAAACTGGGAAGGACAGATCCCAGTGGTGTGGGGAAAACCTGAGAAGTGTTTCGTTAGCGTGGTGTTCAGTTTCTAAAAGGGTGTTAACTGCTAATCTGGCTCAGGGACCGCTGCTCATTTGGTTCATTTGCACCTGATTTCCTGCAGAGAAGTGTCAGGAGATGAGGGGATTACACACACCCGCACAGAGATTATTAAACGGAAGCACCAGGATGCAGCAGAGCAGGAGGGCAATAAACGCAGGTGATTACTGAGTCAGAGACAGGTGAGCTGATGAGCGACAGGTGTGTGAGGCTGGACCAAAGCACAAAGGCTCAAGCGTAAACCTGAAGATCCAAAATCGTCGTCGTCATCTTCCTCCGCTTATTCGGGTCGCGGCGGCAGCATCCCAACCAAGCCCCCACAATGCAGCTCTAAAATCGAGTCTAACCCGGAAGTACCATAAACTGCAGTTCCACCCTCATCCACTAGGGGCTGGTGTCAGAAGCGAGCAAATCCTCATTGACTCCCATGTTAAAAATACCAATTTCACAGCAGAAATAAACATGTTTACAGCCTGGTACCAGAACATGTTTATGGTTTAAATGATCTAGTTTACACTCATGACAACTCTGAGGGGGGTGAATTTTTTTCTCACTCTTCTGTTTAAGTGTATTAAAAGCCTAAAATTCTGTATAATTAATGAGCATCAGACCCACGTGACCACAGAGCTAGCTCCGTGGAAAGACCTCAGTAGAGCCTCGGTCTGGCTTGGAAACTGCTCCGGGATTTTGAGTCTCTGTGTTTGTGTATTCTTGTTTGGATATTATTTGTGCAATTGTTGGACAAAATGACTTGCTGTGGCATTAATTGCACTAATAGAGCGTCCAAGGAGTCTCCACTTCATTTTTTTCGGTAAGTAAAATTATATTTATGTATTTTAGGTCACTGCCGAGCTGAGCTTAGATTTTAACATGTACTGTTTAACCATGACATTTAAATGTAATAGGGTAAAACCCAGTGCATTTAACATAATGCTGCACTTTAGAAAATGGGTTGAAATATGACATGTTGGTGGAGCTGGGTTCAGACTATCGGTATGGTCCCCTCCCCTCAGCGGCAGCTCGGCACATCTCAGACCGCAGCGGCGCCTGTCTGCTGTGCGGCTGACGGCTTGTGGAGGTCTCGGAGACCTCTGTGTTCCACCCGGTTTTATCCAGCGGTCAGCCCGGCGTATCTCTGACTCAGAAACTCTGGTGTTGTGCACAGCTAACTCCGGTTGTAGCTAGGTAGCTACCTCCGTTAGCTTAGCTCCCACCTCCGTGTTAGCTTTGGGTTAGCTTGTAGCTACATCGCTTCAGTTCGACGGGTGTCGTCAGTTGATCCCAGCCTTACAGCCCCACCCTCAGCTCCACCTCTCTTCCCTTTTATGGAATTGTCTGGGCTTGACGGAACCTGTGACACGGTCAAAATGGCGGTGGTGGCCACCTCCCATTTTGACACAAAAACGTATAATTGGAGCCTACGGACACGGATTGTCCAGTATATATGTCGATGGTTCCCCCTCATGACCTCTGACCTTAAAGCAGAAATCTGAAGTTTTTTACATAAAGGTACATAAAATATAATAGAATAGATTTTATTAATTCCACAGGTCTCTGGAGGTGAGTCGGAGCCCGGAGCTGCAGGTAGATGGTTTGTATCCATCTCTGGGCTCACCACGGAGTTGGGTGAGGATGAGTTTTTCCATGCATGCTCGCTCTGTGGTTGGCATGTTTGTGAGCAGATGTCTAACGCTACTGGCTAATGTTGAGCGGTGTTCTATGGAACGGGGAACAGGCTTGGTAAAAAAAAACTGATGTATTTCCTACATTTGATCACAGTACGGAGTCAGACTATACGTTTAACTGATTGCTAAAACAGGACAGATAATTCCTGAAAGGGGGAAACTTCGGATTGCAGCTTTAAGCTGAACCAGGTGAGCCAGACTGCTTCAGATGTTGTTCTGACTTTTGTTCTTTTTTCTTAAAGGAAGCGACCTGATGTGTTGCTTTTTGAGACCGTTTAGCCTACTTCCTGTTGACAGACAGGCTTTGTATGTCTACAGGTCTGGATGTGGCTCGTGGAGCTGAACTCAGCTTTCCAAATAACATGATTAGTCACAGTGAACGCACAATTTAGCAAGGTCAGTTAGCTTTTAACACTTTTGCTACGTAGCTTTTCCGGTGATTCTAATGATGTATTTTTAAAGATGTCAGCAGCCAGTAAAAATAGCCTCATTCCTCAGAAGTTTTTAAATCAACCAAACTTATTGAAAAAGCCGGATCTCAGATCTACTTTCACAAACCTGCTGGACCCCGAAGCCTTGGGCTTAAATAACTCGAGCTGGCCTGGGTGTGATTTGACTTGGAGCATGTGGAGCACCGGCACGCTGTTAACATCCACCTTTTTCCTCCCGCTGGCCAAACTCAAAGCTATTCAATTACTTCTCTGAACCGAACTTCACCGATCAAAACACAAAGCTCCGGGGAGGAGCAGCGCTCCGTTTGGAACAACGACGTTTCCACTGAGGTGATGAAGAGATGACAGACTTTACAGGCTTGGAGAGAATTGTTCAAACTGATGAGGAAGTCAAAAAGTCTTTTTCTCTGTTCATGAAATGCTGTTATACCATAAAATCTCACATTTGTATTATTTTGTCCACAGATGAGAGAAATATTTGCTACACTATACATATACATATATATACAGGTGCTGGCCAGTAAATTAGAATATCATCAAAAGGTTGAAAATATTTCAGTAATTCCATTCAAAACGTGAAACTTGTACATTATATTCATGCAATGCACACAGACCAATGTATTTCCAATGTTCATTACATTTAAATTTGATATTTATAGGTGACAACCAATGAAAACATCAAATCTGGTATCTCAGAAAATTAGAATATTCTAAAGGCCAATGAAAAAATGTTTGTTTCTCTAATGTTGGCCAACTGAAAAGAATGAACATGAAAAGAATGTGCATGTATAGCACTCAATACTTAGTCGGGGCTCCTTTTGCCTCAATAACTGCAGTAATGCGGCGTGGCATGGACTCGATCAGTCTGTGGCACTGCTCAGGTGTTATGAGAGCCCAGGTTGCTCTGATAGTCGTCTTCAGCTCCTCTGCATTGTTGGGTCTAGCGTATTGCATCCTCCGCTTCACAATACCCCATAGATTTTCTATGGGGTTAAGGTCAGGCGAGTTTGCTGGCCAATCAAGGACAGGGATACCATGGTCCTTGAACCAGGTGCTGGTGGTTTTGGCACTGTGTGCAGGTGCCAAGTCCTGTTGAAAGGTGAAGTCTGCATCCCCATAAAGTTGGTCAGCAGCAGGAAGCATGAAGTGCTCTAAAACTTCCTGGTAGACGGCTGCATTGACCCTGGACCTCAGGAAACAGAGTGGGCCAACACGGGCAGATGACATGGCACCCCACACCATCACTGACGGTGGAAACTTTACACTGGACCTCATGCAACGTGGATTCTGTGCTTCTCCGCTCTTCCTCCAGACTCTGGGTCCTTGATTTCCAAAGGAAATGCAGAACTTGCTTTCATCAGAAAACATAACTTTGGACCACTCAGCATCAGTCCAGTCCTTTTTGTCCTTGGCCCAGGCGAGACGCTTCTTGCGCTGTTTCATGTTCAAGAGTGGCTTGACACACGGAATGCGACACCTGAATCCCATGTCTTTCATGAGTCTCCTCGTGGTGGTTCTTGAAGCGCTGACTCCAGCTGCAGTCCACTCTTTGTGGATCTCCCCCACATTTTTGAATGGGTTTGTCGTCACAATTCTCTGCAGGGTGCGGTTATCCCTAGAGCTTGTACACTTTTTTCTACCACATTTTTTCCGTCCCTTCGCCTGTCTGTTAATGTGCTTGGACACAGAGCTCTGCGAACAGCCAGCTTCTTTAGCAATCACCTTTTGTGTCTTGCCCTCCTTGTGCAAGGTGTCAATGATTGTCTTTTGGACAGCTGTTAAGTCAGAAGTCTTCCCCATGATTGTGGTGCCTTCAAAACAAGACTGAGGGACCTTTTAAAGGCCTTTGCAGGTGTTTTGAGTAAATCAGCTGATTAGAGTGGCAGCAGGTGTCTTCTATATTCAGCCTTTTCAGAATATTCTAATTTTTTGAGATACCAAATTTGGAGTTTTCATTAGTTGTCACTTATGAATATCAAATTTAAATGTAATGAACATTGGAAATACATTGGTCTGTGTGCATTGCATGAATATAATGTACAAGTTTCACGTTTTGAATGGAATTACTGAAATATTTTCAACCTTTTGATGATATTCTAATTTACTGGCCAGCACCTGTATATATATATATACAGTATTCCATTTAATCCAGCGTTATTGTTGCAGAGCTTCCACTCGCTGATTACTTTGGACCAGGCCTAGTCAAAGCCCAGGTCTGTTTTTTAGTCCCGGTCCGTCCCTGGCTACAGCGTCTCAGTTCTGAGTGAAAATAATAGATTTCTGAAGGCTTGCCGTTCAAACCCCTTTTCTCCTGTTTATCTCTGAGACAAATGGCCAGTCAGATATCAGAGTTGGCTTCCTGCTGATCGGAAACACCCGAAGCAAAACTCTTTCACATGAAAAATGCTTTTCATGTGAAAGATGAGCGTTTTATTAGATAGCTGAATGATCTTAAATATTCCTTCTCTGCCTGGTAACGGTTGTGTTTGTGCCGAGAGCTCCCGTTGTCATCGGAGATGGATAGACGATGGTGTCGACTATTCACTTCTGGTCCTGGGGGGGGGGTCCACATTCCTGCATGTTTCAGCCGTTTCCCTGCTCAAAAACATCTGATTCAATGACCAAATCTCCTCTTCAGTTTGTCCCTCAAGTTCTTCAGAAGCCTGTCATTCACCCATTGATGCAGAGAAACCCCTAAAACATGCTGGATTA